CTGATGGATGGAGTTGTTTCCTTTCCATCCTAATCTTGACTTTAAGCTGATGACTAAAGAACAAGATTAGTTGGGGAGAGATAAACTTGTCATACCCACAGAATTCCTTCTGTCATGTTGTCCATATCACGACTCGCATAACACCTAGTAAGCAAAAGGACATATAGTTCTCAGCCTTAGTCTGTGATGGGACATTGCTACAAACAGAACTGGCCTTGAGAACAAAAAACTTTCTGTGCAGCATGATGCAAATCATGATTTCTTTAATAAACTTACACAACTGGCCTACGACTCTGCAGTGGAAGAAGGTGTGATCCAGGGTCTCCACAACTCACTGCAGCAAGTTTGGAGATTTTTCCAGGCTTTCCAAATAAAGTCTCCTGCCAACTCAAAGTGCCTTTCTAACACCAGTCAGATGAGGAATACCTCATCATTAGTGAGTCATTTCAACCCATGTACCCAATGCCACATGGAGCAAGCCTCCTGTTTTGTTAGACCAAGCTTGCCAATCAGATCATCTTGAATGGACCTGCTAACTAGCACATGATATAATGCCTTATGGGACAATGCCTGGACATTGGAGAGGCTATCCGTTGCCTGTAAGAGGAACTTGAGAGCAATCCAACATTCACGATAGAAGGAGCACTCACCACAAGGTAAACAGTGGGCTTCCTCTTCACACGAGTGCACACTTCTCAGTGATGGGGAGTTCTTACAGATGTCTTCCTTCCAGAATTTGTCATTCCACCCAATTGCAAACACATCCAGTCTAGGAAAAAGATGCAAAGCATATATTGACGAATCTCAATGCTAGACATACCCAGATCGCTTTCAGGAGGGTGATGGTAACAGATCTCCAAACATACCTTGGAGCCTTGTTTCCCCGCAAGAAAGAGCTTACTAAACCCATATATGTGGCATACAGGTGTGAAAGTATGGAGAGTTGGTAAAGGAGAATCAGGTAGATATGCGAAGCATATATTTCTGCCTTCCCCTTTAAGGAAAGCCTCTTTTGGGACCACAGACGAACTGCGCACTCAACTTTCTCCCATATCTCTGACCAATTCATTTCCAACAAGAGATCAGGACTGAACTGCTCAACACAAGAAATGAAAATTGTCATCAGCATAGGCAGAATACCTGACCAAAGTGGTAGCATCAGGTAAGGAAATTTTGTGTAGGACTGGATTCACCTTTAACTTGCAAGGAAAGTCTCCAATGCAAGAATGTAAAGCAAGGGCAAAAATGGATGACCTTGACAAATGGAGCAAGACAATATGAATAGTTTTGATCTTACTCCATTCACTTCTAGCAATGCACCAGAGGACGCATACAAAAGTCGAATCCAGGTGCGAAATATGGCCTGAAACCAGTGTCAGAAAGGACAGCCTCCAGAAATCAATGGTCAACTCTATCAAATGCCTTGGAGTGATCTAAATAGATCAGCACAGCTTCACTGTCAACATGCTTGATGATCAAGTGTACCAAATGAAGGTTATCCTGAATTGTCCTACCCTGCACAGCACAAGTCCATTCAGAGCCAATCAGACTAGATAGGATGATAGCCTGACTAAGATCGTAGCTAAAATTTTCAACTCTGTTTAACATTGTCAAAGGCCAATAATTACCAATCCCATCCCCACCATTTTTGTGCTGGTGAAGCATTGAGGTATAGACCCCTGCTTCATCCAATTGTTGTAAATCAGTGCCAGCAAAGGTACAAAGATGGGTGATTGCCTCAAGTACATTTTGTAAGGAAAACCATCTAATCCAGGAGTTTTGTCTCAGCCAACCAGCTTCAGTGCTTTCCCAATCTCAGATTCTGTGATGGGACCCTTACACCCAGCTGCTTCAGCCACCTCGAGGTGGGGAAAGTCAGCCAAATAGGCGTCAAACTGAATAGGGCTCCCTGGTGAACAAATTCTGAAAGTAGTCTCAAAAAGCCTCACATATGTCTGTATTTGTAGTCATAGTCTGCTTGACCACAATGTGATGCTCACGATATGTCAATTGGATGCATTTCGAGTCTCCTCTGCACGCAATTCAGTGGCCATGTTTGTTGCCTTGGAAGATATTCTTTTTGACCTAACCCTAAGTACTAGAGCTTGATCTTTCTTGATAAGCAAGGAGGCCAGCTCCACTCTAGCTAAGGCTACTCCTCTAATATCATCGGATTTAATTACCTGATCAACTTTTGCTTCACATGCCATTTGTGCTACTAATCTAGCTAGATTAAAATTGTGACTATAATCAGCAGCAAACAACCTAACTTTAGATTTTAATTCTTTGGGGCTTAACCCCCAGAGACTCAAGTGATTTAACCACTGTGTCTTTTGTGGAGTGACAAATTTTACACATACACTTGTCAACCACAAAGACTGACACATTTCTTTTTCAACTTTCTTAAGTTCTTGGGGGTGTTCCAAAAGTCCACCTTCTTTAATAAGCTGTTTGTAACTCTTGGTCCACTCCAAAAACTCTGTGATGTTGATCACACATTTTGCAGGAGACTTCCAATAATAGGGCATTTCCCCAGCCTCAGCATTGCCATTCTTTTCATTAGTACTTTGTTTGTCACTGGTATTTTTGTCGATTTTGGCTTCCATACTTGTTTTTTTTTTTGGTCATTTTTCTGTTTTTCTACTATACTATGTTCTACAGGCTTTGATGTTTCTTCTTAGAGGTGGTCCCAAACAAGTCCTTCTTGATTGACTGACATTTGTCGGTCATTTTGAGGTGAATGATTCTTTTTCACAAATTTTTTTTTCCCAGGCAAAGTTTGAAAAGATAGAAATACAAAACAACTGAAAAAGAAAATAAAAAGACAAGAAAAAAATTTAAAACAATAGTTTAACTGAGTTACACTAGAGAAAATAAAAATCGGGTTATTACCACAGGGGGTAAAAAATTTTAAATTTCCTCCCCCACAAAGTGGGATATGACACAAGTCTGGTTTTTAACAAGGGGCATGTTGCCTCAGGCAAAACTTCCCACATTGATCCTGTATACATGGGGTCAGGTGGCTGCCTACTCTGTCTCTAGGCATAGCCTTGTCTGAGTTCTTCCCCAACTGAAGGCAGAGAGTCTAACAAGCCTAGATTTAAAGAACTCAGTATTTACCCAAGTCCTCCCCACAAGGCAGTATGTAGCACAAGGCCAGTTTTTTTTTTATGTGGAACATTCTGAGCCTGTAGGATTGACAAAAATTCCCTGTAGACCCCATAATAACAGGGTCAGGTTTTTCTACCTCCCCAGACAAGACTCTGCCCTTCAGCATAGCCTTGTCTGAGTTCCTTTCTGACCAGAGGCAGAGTGGTCAAGAAGCAGAGTATCTGCAAACACAGAGGTTTAATGAACTTTGCATATCAGCAGAGTTCTCCTCAATATATGTGTTCAGGACAGATCCATTAATGGGTGACATGGATCATACCACAGTTGACACCATTAGAATAATAGCAAATTGCATTTGAATGGGTTAAAAAATAAAGTAGTCTAACACAGACACAGATTCCAATGGCAGTGCATATAGAGAAGGAAAATCAAAAATGGACTTATATAAAACAATGAAAAGACAAAGGAGAGAAATGATTACCATGAAAGCATGACAAAATGAATAAATATATAAAACACATTTGATTATAAACTGAAAATAATTAATATTCTACATTCGGTGAAAGAAAACTGGAAAATAGATTAGTAACAACAACAAAGATAAGACAAAAAATTTTTTATAAAATCATTTTCTGCATGAAGCCTAAATTCATTTCTGTAGAAAGTGATTCCTTGAGTTAATTAACAAGACTAATATGGGTAGAACTGGTGTCAGCTGCAATTCAGTAAGACGATTTGTCAGGGCCTTTTCTTGTAGAAAGCTTATAGTATAACTGCTTTCTCGACTCCCTGTCTTGGGACCACTGCTGGGGCATATCATTCCACTAGTCAAACTCCTCTATCTACATTGTGTTTAAGATTTTGATCTGAGGAAGTCTTAGACATAGTTGAAACACCTTCAGGAGCAAAGAGGCTGTGTTACAAGTAAAATAAAGAAGAAAGCAACTTTCAGGACAACTGACTCGTGTTTGCAGAAACAATGATACAGAGTTTATTTGTCAAATGTTACAGTTATCTTAAACAGCTTTCCCAATTCTATTGTGCTTTGGTTGACCTAACAGCGGCTGATTTGTAAGTAAGCAGCTTTATTTACAACATATTGAATAATTGAGTAATACCTTGGACTGTTCAATGATAGTCAGTTCCACAATTCAATAATGCCATCTCACCAATGTAATCATGATGAAGGCATAATGCCATCATTATGGTTATTATTACAAACTTTATCATGAATTGATTTTACAAGAATCCTAATAACTATTACACACTTTTGTGACAGTATAGTCTAGTCTTTATAACCTGATTGTTCAGTTTTTAGTGTTTGGTAGAAGTATGCACTCTCTCAGTGCTTTCTAGTTCTTGAGGAAAATAAAAATTTTCAGTGAATATATAAAAGCCTCAATGTTTGTTTCAAAAAATCAGAATAGCAGCTGATGATATATTCTAAGGAAATTTTATGAAGATTTTCTACTGAGATGTGAAAAACTGAACATAAGAATTTTTCCTCTACATAAAATCTGTTGTTTCTTTCCCTTCCCAGGTGACTTTGTGGCCTCACACAAATTTAGATTTTATAAATATTTTTATACATTCTTTTACTCTTAGTCCATTGAATAACTTGTCATGTTGAATCTTTATTGATGATATAGAAACTGAAAAGCCTACATTTAAGAAAACATTAGGCAGAGAAAAGCAAAAATCAATTTCTTCCTAGCTATAAAAATAAAAAACCAAGGGCAATTTTGTATTATTATAAAAGGGAATTTAACTACATTATGACACACAAGCATATCATAGTCCTTCTTCTTCTATATGCCATGTCCATTCAAGATGTGGGCAATAATGACAACCCATAATGTTAATATTGTTTCTGAAATCTATTTACTTACCTTCTGCATCAATTCCATCATCGTCATCATCATAATCATCATCACTACTGAACACATCAGATTTAGTTTTGGGTGCAGGCTTTTTCACTATCTCTGTTGCTCGAAAGAAATTCTCAACCCAACCACGTTTTCTCAGACAATTTCTTACTGTGGCATAACCTCCTTGAATTGTAAAAATCTTATTTGTCTGCAAGAAGAAAGAAAATGGAGCAAGAACAATAAATGGTTGTCAGTTAATTATTACATACTTTTGTCATAGCATAGCCCGGGATCTATAAAACCTGAAAATCTACAAACATTAGCACTGGAAGATTTTTTTTTAATATATTCTGCTATTTGTCCTTCTTTTAGAAAGCAGGATGATTTTAAGGAAAGTCATGTGGAGAATGACATTTAAGAAAAGGGGGTGCTGCTGAAAAGTTATTAGCCTGACCAAGAAGAGATCCTAAAATAAATTCTAAGTTTTAATATTTGTTCATAATTTGGAAAGTGGATCAGGAAAAAAAAATTTCAACACTTTCTTGTGCATATATATATATATATATATATATATATATATATATATATATATATATATATATATATCCAAGTATATCTTTCTATACTTGGTTTTTGATTGGTTATTCTAGCTTTTGTAACAATGTTTCTGAAACTTTTAAAACCATTTATTTTATTTTCAACATCATCACTTGATAAGACACAGAGTGTGTTGAAACAAAATGGCTATTTTTGTAGTGTTTTTATAACATACTTATGTAATAATTTTTTTTATAAAAAATAATTATATATATATATATATATATATATATAATAGAGCTAAGTAATATATACAAAGTGTTCTTATAAGGTGGATGTGTGCATCATGTAGTGGCTACTGGTACGGAAAGTGGGGTTGGCATGATAAGTTCAAATTTTGGCTGAGGTTGTTGCATTTATTTTTGCGCAAATACCCTTGGAAAAAGTATAAATCTATTTCTTCACCTACTAGTTATGGGTTAAATAGCAAGGTGACTACTCTCTCTAGCCTTGGTTGGCAACCAGTCTAGAAAAAGGATAGCACTGAATTTAGAATTTGTTGGGTGTGGGGTTGGCAACTCCCCACAGTAAAAATCTACTTACTATGGAAACTGTAGAAGTAACACTAGTATAGTGAGGCTTTGACTCTATGCTCCTCTGGTATGATGTTTTTATGTAAGGAGAATCCATTTGTGTGTAAAGAGTATCTTTTGTGAGTAAAGAACACCATTTGTGAGCAGTAGATATCATGTAAGGAGTATATTCGTGAGATTATTGTATAAATGCAGAAAGGTACTATTTAGAACTGATGAATATAATGAGACATGAGAAAAATAAAAGACAATGACAGATTGAAAAATTCAGTGACTAACAACTAATCTAGAATTTTCTGGTGTTACGGCAGGTGCAACACAAAACAAGAAGAATCAGATTCATAGAAATTAAAGTTGAAGAAAAAAGATTACCTCTAATAATGAAAAGCAGATTTTATTTAACATATAATACAATATTTTCTTGGAACAATAGGGATGAGGTTTAAACAATATAAGTTAGGAAATACTAACAAGTTACTAAGCATGTGAGAACCCAGAAAGTAGTTGGCTTGACATGTAAACTATACAAGGGAGTGTGAGAGGAAATCCACTGTGGTTAAGATTAAGGCGACTGATGGGAATTCGTTGCTAGTCAAAGAATTATATTATTTTCTTCTTAAAAAATAGTTTGATATTCACATATATATAAAATAAAAGAGTTTGGTCAATAATATCAAGGAAAAAGGGTGAAGTATTTACCGATAGTCTTTTCTTTTCAGGACTGTAGGAATTTAGATTCTTTCGGTCAAAGCTTTGTTCTTGAATCAAAAGGACCAGAGTTGACCTCAATAGTCGTGGCTGTCTAGTTGGTACGAACTCCTATTTATATGTTTTTTGTACCCTCTAAAAACCTAGTAGAAGTTTCTAGAGACTTCTAGAAAGTTCTGTTTTATTATTATGAAATCTAAAGGGTTTGGTGAATGGAAGCTTTTTGTAAGGTAAAAAGAGCATCTAGTAGCTATAGATTTAAGTCATCATTTTAAGTTAGATTTTGTATTTTATAGTATAATTGTAAAGAAGTAGGACAAAATGGGGCCTCGCAACACTGGCAAAAGTTTAAACTTTATACTATTATATTTTACTACTATTTTTACTTTTATTTGAACTTTGAAATAATTATACCTTGGGTGATCCAAACTAAATGCTCAGAGAAACAATCAACAAAAATATCATCTTCTTACTGGAATACAGACTATTAACTTTCCTAAAATGTGTAGTCTGACCAAGAACTGAACCCACCATCTTTGGCTAACAAATTTCTGAAGATATTAGACTCCACCTAGTCAGCTTAATGGATGTTTTCTAAGCAGTGGTAGTAGCAGGCTTGTCTCCCTTCCTACCAAAGTGGATTTAACCTTTAAGCATTATTTGTTTATTGAAATTTCTCCTCA